TGGTGGCATCTGACTCAGATAAGGAAAATGAATATGCATCAGCCCGCTCTGCTTTGGATAGTTATCAAGCTGAGCCCATCATCAGCATTGACACATGCCCTCAGGAATAGTGGTTGAAGCATGAAACAATATATGACTCTTTAGTACATCTGGCACGTAAATATCTTGTGACGCCAGCTACAATAGTGCCATGCAAACGCCTGTTCTCACTTTCAGGTGATATCGTAAGCAAGAAGCAGGCAGCAGCATCTCCTGCAAATTGTAACCAAACTTGTTTGTCTGAGTGATTGGCTGAAGTAGGACTGAGTGGACTTGTAGGCTCTAAAGTTTTATGTTGTTTTATTTTTAATGCAGGTTTTTTTTTTTTGGTACATAATTCGACATTTGTAAGTTCAACTTTCATGATAAAGAGGGTGCACTACGGTACTTGAATTAGGCGAATTTTTTTTGTTTTTTACAGTGCATTTGTTAGAAAAAATATAAAATGAGCACTGTACACTTTGTATTCTGTGTTATAATTAAAATAAATATATTCAAAAATGTAGAGAACATCCAAAAATATTTAAATAAATGGTATTATATTATTTAACAGTGTGATTAATCGCAGTTAATTTTTTTATTTGCTTGACAGCCCTAATTTCAAGATCTGAAACTCCAGATTGAAAATTTCAAAGATTCTGAGCCAGGTGTTTAATCTATAGTATATTGAATAAACATGTTAAATCATGAAGCCTCCTTGAAATCAATGTAATTGCAGGATTGAGCCCTGAATCTTCTACTAAAGTATATTGCTTTCTCATTGACCCAGCTATAGTATCTGCTGTAAAAGAAACAGTTGAGACATTTGAATGACCACATATTCTTTCTCTGAATTCACGTTGAACCTGATTTCTGCTTGCTTGATGTCTTCCTGAGAAAAATACCTTAGCAAAGTCCCTCTTAAAAGATGCTACTGTTGCTACTTTTTTGCTTTCCCTATCTCTGCTGCTCAAAGAGATGCTGTTGCATCCATATCTTTAGCTGCTCATGAGTCCACACAACCAGGGAAAAATAAAAACAAAACAAAAAAAGCCACCCAGTTTCCTTTATATCAAAAAGTGAAAACTAAGTGTTAAATTACAGGATACTGAGGATGTATGAGTACAAAAATGGGCCATAGATCAAAAGAACTCATAATGAATATGTGCAAAGGGCTGGTGAGATATCTGCTATGAGATGTGTGACATACCCAGGGTGATGAATTGATGTGTCTCCTTGCCTGCTAACATGGAGTACCCTTTGCAATACTTTGCTGCTGTAACCTTCAGTCTGGACTGCTCACAAACAGCCTCAAGCATGCAAGTCACTCCCGGCCTTGGCTCTTACCAGCCTTAGTTATATTGCAAGGTGACCCCCCAGAAATGTATGTCCTGTACTGTCCAGCCCTTTATATAATTTGTATTGTCCAGGAAAGTGTGTTGTTACTTTAATAGACATAATATGCACTTAGCTTGCCACCCCAAATAGAATTTCCCAGGCACTTCAATTCAAACACACTGGATTAGATAAAACAGTAAAACAAGTTTATTAACTATAAAGAGAGAGATTTTAAGTGAGTACACATAATGAGTCATAAAAGTCAGAAATGGTTACAAGAAAAACAAAGATAAAATGCAACTGGTGCCTAGCTTAACAAACGGCATTAAATTTAAAGCAAAGTTTTCTCACCGCATGCTTTCAGAGTCTCATTGACCAAACTTCTTAATTCAGGATCCAGTCCCTAGTTCAATGGCTGCTTCCTTTGTCCCTTCTGGTGTGATGAATTTATGGGCAGAGAGACAGGAGGGTTCCTTAGGATGTCTGCCCCCCCCCACCTTTTTTTGTAGTCCTGTCCCCCGTTTGAGAAGCATTTCCAGCTAGGAGCAAGGCGACAAGCAGTCTGTGTGGAAGGGAACTCCATGCTGTTTCTTTGCTAAGATGTAGATTTTTTGCCCCTGCTCCCGTTCCTGCCAAAGAATGGCCACTTAGCAGGTAATGGTCCATCAGCCTTGTTTACACTGGGCTGGGCATCAGTTTGTTCTTTGTCTCTGAGGAACCGGTTTGGCCAGTCCCCCAGACTTCTCTGGAAAACGTTTTTAGACACGATCTCAACTTATGTTTATAATTTCACATATAATGCTGCTATGTGCATTTTTTCATGATATTATTGATCAGCAAATTGAGTGTTTAAATGACAACTCACAAAGGTGTACTTTGTACAAAGATTATTATAATAGTGTATAAGGTGTGGACACAGGTATGTTCTGTCACAGGATGCAAATAGTGAAAAGGTATTGGGGGGGATGGATGGAATATATGTAAAGATTACAACAGGGTGAGCTACAGGGATAATAGTTGTTGTGGAACTCCAAAAGAGGCAATTTGTAATAATCAGAGGTCATGGTGGAACATTGCTTATCTTGAATAGTTGGTGGCACCTATATTCTTTATATAATAATCTGAATTATTTCGGTAATCGGGCATAAATGAACAGAAACTAAGAGGGAAAGCATGTCTTCATACAGTGGGAGTACTTAAAGCTGTATTAGTAGCTTAGACTGAATATATCCACAAATAAAGTATACAAGTACTTTCAAAACAAAATACATTACAGGTTACAAATATGCAGAATTGTAGGTGATGGATGGTCATACTTTGAGTTCAGTGGGTTGGTATGTCTCTTAACAGGACTAAACGAATAAGATTATTTCTAAAAACTATGTCTAATTCATGTGGTATATTAAATTGCCTGGTAGCAGGAAATAATGTGATTAGCACAAACATACTAGACTCACTAAAACTTTAACATCTGTGCACAAGAACAATCTTCACTTTGAATTTCCTTCCCTTTTTTTGGCCTCAGTCCACCCCTTAATATTGCTGTTAGCATAGTGTTTTGCGTGTGTACGTTCAAACATCTCTTATTGAAATTATAGGGCTTCTTGGATCATTGTCAGAGTAGACTGTAACTGCTCTGTGTAAGTGTTTTTATCATTCATTGTGTCATTGTGGTGGTTGCCAAACATTCCTTTTAACTCTGTACTATAGGTTTTTGGCCATTTTGATGAAAAGCAGACGTGCATTAGAATAGTCATGACTGTAAATAAAATAACTTGGGTTCAGAAGCCATGTCATGTTGCTCTGCAGTTACTCTCTAGCTTATCCATTAAAGAACTGAGATGGCTGATAAAAAGGAAAAGAAAGGAAAAGCAAAATATAAGATCTTTTTGCTTTAGGGGACCAAAAAACTATTTTAAGAATAGTGCAAAGGTATGTGAAACTAATAATGTCTATTTTTACGAAACTCTTGCTATCATATATCTATAGAATATAAAAAATAAGGCAAACCAGTTGATACTGTGTATGTGATTCTACTGAATTCACTGTATATTATAGTATGCTACAGTATTGGTACACTGTAATGTATCTAGTGAATGAACCATTGTAACTGCTTATGCAGCTTTTGCCCCAGCTTCCCACCTTTCAGGGTCTGGCTACCAGCAGCTGAGAAATGTAATTCCCAGCTTGGGTAGCCATACACATGCAGCTCAGCTCAACCTAGTGCCTGAAAATAGCAGTGTGAATGCAGCAGCTTGTACTAGCTGTCCAGTAGGTAACCAGGGGCTTAGGCAGGATTGTGGTCAGGTGGCTAGCCCATGCCATTGCCCGTGTAGCCACGGATAGATTGCTAATTTTAGGGCATTGGTTTGAACTTTGCAACTTCCCATCTGTTATGTAGACACATCCTGAAAGGGAAGACAAGAGCATCTTCACCTACCTTTGTTTCATCTCAGCCCCCCCCCCCCCTTGCATGTTTCCAAGCTCTGAACCCTTTGCATACTTGCCTGCAAATCCTGTCCTCTTTTTCTTGTGCAGCAGAACCACACTAGGTCAGCTGCTTGGGGATACTTTTCTGCTATGAAGGTAAAGGCAGGGTTTGGTCCTATGATAATCGACTGACTGGCCAATATGCCAAAGGAATCGTGCCTTATAGCAGCATGGATTGTTGTTTCTTTGGATAGGAAATATGTTGACTCTGTGTTTTGAATGTTTTATTTCATTCGGGGAGTTTGCATGAAAGATGTGTGACAGTGTACCCTATAAGGCTTTATGGGGAGGGGGTGCTTATAAATGTATGGATGACATAGCTGGAATATGTTTTGTGCTGCCTGTGCCATGTAACATATCTCCGTAAAGGTTCTGGTCTACTATATCTATTCATCCAATTTGTACATATATATCATTTTCTACTCGAGGTTAAGAATATGGGCTGTATGCTTGCTTGATTTCTAAGTAAGCTTTGTGAGGCATTTGGTCAGCTTCTTTAGGAAGGAATTTGCCAGGTTAAGTACCTGATCAGGAGACACTTAGGGAACAATGCACCTTGGAATGCTCCTTGAAATAAAAAAAAAATCGTTCTGCACTGAAATTTCCGAATTTCCTGTGAAACGGGTATT